GAACTTCTGTCCAAAGAAGCCATCTCCCAAGTTCCTCGCGGGCAAGAACACTCGGGCTTCTACTCCCGCTACTTCGTAGTACCGAAGAAGTTGGGAGGAATGAGACCAATACTCGACCTTTCTCTGTTCAACTGCTCCATAGCAGTGATGCATTTCCGCGTGTTAACAATGAGGCAAGTCCTAGAATATGTGGGACTGGGGGACTGGTTCACGTCAATAGACCTGCAAGACGCATACTTCCACATTCCAGTAATTCCCAAACACAGGAAGTTCCTGCGCTTTTCTTTCAAGGGAGTTCAATACCAGTTCATTTGTCTCCCTTTCGGCTACTCACTTGCCCCACGCACCTTCTCCAAATGTCTAGAGACAGCTCTCCAGCCATTACGCACGGCGAGAATGAGGGTTCTATTTTACCTGGACAATTTGCTCCTATTCGCCCGGTCCAAGGACGAGGCATCAGAGCAAACCAGGAAGTTAATAGAGCACCTGTCAACCCTGGGGTTTTCCATAAACTGGGAAAAATCCATCCCAGTCGATTGTGTTTCTCGGGGTGGAGCTGAACACCTCCCTAATGAGAGCACGTCTACCCCAGGCGAGAGCGGTAGATCTCACCTCTGCGATCTCCCATGTGCAACCCCGCAATATCGTGAGAGCCCTATTAGTTATGAAACTTCTGGGCATGATGGCTGCAGCCCACGCTGTGGTGCCGTTGGGATTACTACACACGAGACGCCTGCAGCATTGGTTCTTCTGCCTCCAGGTGCACCCGATACATCAGAAGAGACGTATGTTGAGGATTCCCCCTTCAGTCGGCGGGGATCTCTCACACTGGGGGAATCCCTGCATCCTCTCACACGGGGTCCCCATCGGACGTCCTATGTCACACATCTCTGTATTTACGGATATGTCACTGTTGGGATAGGGGGGCACGTGCTTATCCCATACGGTGGCAGATCGCTGGCCCTCCCACATGCACGAGCACATAAATGTGTTGGAGCTTATGGCAGTGAGGAATGTGATCAGACACTTCGCTGCCCTTCTCGAAGGCCGTCTTGTCGAAGTTCACACAGACAACCAGGTGGCGGCAGCCTACATAAATCGCCACGGGGGAGTTCAATCCCTCCCACTATTGCGCGTAGCCACAGATTTACTGTGTTGGGCACATGTCCACCTGCTGTCCATCAAAGTCACCTACATTCCAGGCGTCCTGAACGTGGCAGCAGACATCCTGTCAAGAGGGGGACCCTGCGACTCCAACTGGCGTCTGCATCCCGCACTGATATCACAGATCTGGATCAGGTTTGGGGAACCATCTGTGGATCTGTTTGCGGCTCGCGGAAATGCACAGTGGTGCCTGTGGTTTTCCGTGAGACCACTGGACCACCCCCCGTTCGGAGGGGACGCCTTCTCACACCAGCCCTGGCCTCAGACGCTCCTGTATGCATTTCCGCCAGTCCCACTGATTCCCCGACTCCTGGACCGAGTTTGGTCAGAGCGGCTCTCAGTGATTCTGGTAGCTCCCAGACGCTTGTCCATGTCATGGTTTCCAGACCTACAAGCGCTGGTGTCCGGCTCCCCGTGGATGCTCCCGTGGAGGGAGGATGCCCTTCTCCAGGTGGGAGGAATAATCAAACATCCTCCAGAAATAGGCCAACGGCTGTGGGTTTGGCCACTGAGCGGTCACGCTTAGAAGCTTCTGGGCTGCTGCGTGATGTGGTCAACATGATTCAGAGTGCGCGCGCGCCCTCTACCATTTTGCATCTTATGCTGCTAAATGGCGCAGCTTTCCAAAAATGGTGCACAGAGTGGAATGTTCAAGCGCTCTCCTGCCAGCTGGCGGATGTCCTATCATTTCTGCAGATACTGATAGACAGAGGCCTCGCATTCAGCACTATTAAAACATATACTGCAGCAATCTCATCCTGTCACCAAGGTTTTGGAGATGGATCTGTTTTCAATCATCCCCTCACAAAATGTTTTCTAAAAGGTGTCAGAAGGAACAGACCTGTGTCCTGCCCACTATTTCCCCAGTGGGACCTAACGGTGGTTCTGCACGGCTTGTCTGAAGCCCTGTTTGAGCCCTTGGACCGGGTCTCACTCAAGTTCCTGTCACTCAAAACTGCTTTGCTGCTGGCACTGGCATCAGTCAAGAGAGTGAGCGACCTAACCACCCTCTCAGTGGCTCCTGCATGCCTCAGAATCCGAGAAGATAGCGGGTCTGCTATTTTATGCCCCAACCCAGCCTTTGTGCCCGAAAACATTAATACTTCCTTCAAATCCAGGTCAATTTCATTGGCTGGATTTTTTCCTCCTCCCCATAATTCTGATGAGGTGGCAGCTTCCCACCTTCTCTGCCCAGTGCGCGCACTCACACGATATGTGTCTCGCACTTCAGGGATTCGTCACTCACAGAGCCTGTTTGTACACTACAGAGACTCTTCCCTTGGGCAAGCGCTGCCGACCCAACGTCTTTCACACTGGCTATGTGACGCTGTTTCACTCGCTTACACATCATCAGGGTGGGATCATCCTGAGACACTCAGGGCTCACTCAGCCAGAGGTATTTCCTCTTCTGTGGTGCTCCACAGTGGTGTGTCAATGGAAGACATTTGCCTAGCTGCTTCCTGGGCTTCCCCATGTTCCTTTACTCGTTATTACTTACAAGGTATTTCTTCAGGATCCATCACTCATTCAGTGCTTGGACCCCAACAGGCTGAGTGAAAACATTACGGCCTCTCATCGGCCCTACTACAATATTACATGTCCAGATGGATATGTTCGCAATCACTACCTATGTTCCCCTCATAAGGGGTCCTATTCAATCCTTTGCCCTCTTGTCCCCCTTTCCTTATTATCTTATCACCCCTCATATATGAGCCGGTGATTACATCAATGATCATTAAATTCATCCACTTGTGGATGATCATTTTAGTGGGAACTCCACTCTTCTTTCTGGCTGCCTCAGCCTTCTAAGCCCTTAGGCTTAGGCTGAACGACCCTCTCTAAGAAGAGAAATATTGGATGTGCCCATTTGGTTTGAGCTAACCAGTGTGGCATAAACTCATCCAGCTGCGCATTATTCCAATAGCAGCTAGCTTAAGGGCTAAGACTAGACAAAATAGATCGTTGGTTACGTATTGTAACCCCAGATTCTATGAGTCTAGTCGCAGCCCTTAAGCCAATGGCCCCACTGGTTCTGTTAGGACCAAGAGCATTCGGAGGCGAACAGTGGAGTCGCTCCACTTATATACCCACAGGGGTGCCCACCATTGGTGGGTGTACATTTAAGCTCTTCATGATTGGCTGGTGCTGAGATCACCCTTCCAATAGCAGCTAGCTTAAGGGCTGCGACTAGACTCATAGAATCTGGGGTTACAATACGTAACCAATGTTATGGGCTGTACCAGCACAGGTAGGTGTGACAAGGTGTCAAACAGGACAATATAGAGTAAGTGTCGATATTTTCTTTGATAAATGAATCTAAAACAGTCCAAACTATTCCCAAAACATTAACAATTACTTGTACAAAGTTCTCAGTAGATGTAGCAATAATAATAAAAATAATAACAATAATAATAAATAATAGTTAAGGGGGAAAAAACTTGGTAAATTTGTTTTTATTTTATACATGAAAATCTGATCCTATCCGACTGATGTTCACTCTTTTGTTTTACATGAACTAAACTGAGGGAAATCGTAGGAAAACGTTGTCTTTGGCTCAGACTTTATACTTCATCCACCCAAACAACTGATTTTTTTTACATGTTTGTTTAAGTTATGCACCGAAATTAAAATTCTTGGCCGAAGCCAAAAATGAGGAATCCAAGTCTGAAACACCTAAATAAATGATTATGCCAATAATTACAACCCCAGAATTTACGGCTACAATGTGTAATAAACTCACTAAAATCAGGGCATTGCAATAAATCAATTACAAAACCATGAAAATATTTATGTAACACTGACATAACAATGCACAATATAGATTAAAACTCACATTAAAATTTTTCTCTTGACCCCACACATGCACATTAAACAATAATCAATGATAAATAAACAAAATTAATAAATTGTAAATGCACAGTCTTATAAATGAAAGGCCTGCTGAGGACTGTAAAAGTTAACCCTTAAAGCGCCAAAGTCGCAATATTGAGTTTAACGAGCCAAGCGTATTAGTGTACACCAGAAGACAGTGGAGATGTGTAACTTCTATCTGAGCAACACTTTTGGGTGTTTCTGTTGAAATGTTCAGAGTTTATAGAGTTTGAAACCCATCCTGCTTAATTCCTGAGTAACTTTAACATCTTTCCGTTATGGGTGTACTGATATACTAAAAAGGGAGTATTGTATTAAAACATGGTGGATATTAAGGTTCTGTTATTAGTGGCTCATGTGATGGAGGAAAGTAAAGATTCTTCTGCTGTTTCTGGGTCAGATGTAAGGAGGAAAGTCATTGTACAGAGCAGAACTGATTCATGTCTGTAAACAAAGATTTCCGTCCACATATTCATGTTTTTATGTCTATAAAAATGTTTGTTCAAGCCCCCTTGTGTTTGGTTTAAGACCTGAAACTCTCAAATGTGTAAATATGAAAACCCTTTAAACCCTTTGGTTAAAGCTGGTGAGATTTCATAGGTGACATATTTCCTGTGGTTGGTTCTTATAGTTTATTGCCATAAGTTAGCTTAACTTTGGGTTGTTTTAAACATAAAGACATTTTCAGATCTCTATGTGTGACTTTTACAGCTTTAAATGATTGAACGTCCTGGATTTTAGTCAAAAACATCAAGCTGGTAGCACTCCGCATGGCCACTGGATGCACTGAGCTGTAAAGTTCAATTTCATTAGATTTAATTACAAGATTTTAGGTTGGATTAAATCACTAAACCTGAATTTAATTTATGACTATTTTACAGAGTTCTTTTATTAATTGCAACAGTGTTTTCTCTGCTCACAGCTGTTTTTCTGCCATTATGTCACATGTCATCTTTCTAACACAGAGAAACACAGGGAGATGGCCAGGAAGGCGCTGAAGAAGAAGGCGCTCTCGTCAGGGCTTCCAGTTCTTCACCAGCCCAGACAAGGAGTGAAGAGGTAGGAGAGGGAAGAGGAAGCCACACCGCGCTGACTCTGCGTTTCTACAGGATGTTTTATTTTCTGATCTTCTGTGTAGGACGGTGAAGTATAACAAGGGCTATGCTGCTCTGAGTCAGCACGCAGAGGAAACCTTGGTTGCCCTGGACTCAGACAGGTGCTGTAAAAACGCTCTCAGTCAGCTGTTCTCTTATCATAAATATTAATGGGCGGGGTTACTTTTACTTTATACAACCCAACTTCTACTAAACATCAGTTGGAGTTAGAATCTGTCACTATTTGTAGCTTTTAAAGTTTGCACAGCCCCGTTAATCAGACCGAGCCTGCCTTCCTCCCTTCCAGTGATGAGGAGATCGACTTTGAGCAGTACTCATCAGGATACTCTTCAGCTGAGGTGAGATTTAATCTGACGTCTTTGATTTCCTCCTGGCGAGTTTTCTAACTGGGCGTGCGACTATTTCTGTATGGGTGAAGAGAGTTAATCCACATTCTTATCACTCGAGCTTTATTCAAGCATCACCTCCTCACTAACACACCATTGCACACACTGCAGGAAGTGGAACATTAGCGGTCTCGCCTTTTCCCCTGGAAACTTATCCCTAAGTACATGTACGCTACAAATGATCCCCAGAGCTCTGAAGGGTCCTTTTGTTTGATAAAAGGTAAGGATTGTGGATTGTGTATCTCAAACAGTTCAACACAAAACAACTTGGTTAGTTTCACCGCTGACTTAACGCACCAAGAATGTCAAACAGCTGCAAATGTTGTTTTTCTGCGCTGATTGTAGTAGAACCCGATGATTGAGAGTAAACTCCACAGAAACAAATGTCTAATATTTAATTAGTTGTTTTTCACGGTGGAACAAAGCCTGTGGCCTTTTTCTGCCTCTGAAATGTGGTCGTGTCACATTGTTTCCAACGCCTTCAGGCGGGACTTACACTAGCTGCTTCCTCTGGGTCCTGTCCAGGTGCACCGCTAAGGTTCGGGTCTGACCGGGTCGTTGCAGCACCCTGACACTTTTACCTTTAGTCACTCATTTTGTTTGTTTGTTTGTTTGAAATCTTGGACTTTTTCTTTTAAACCAGTTGGACCAAATGTCGGTCTGATGGGTCACACTGGACTCACTAATACTTTGTTACATCATGAATGCAAGATGTTCTGCAGCCCACATCATCCACCTCACACCACCGTGTTTAACCACTAAAACAGGTTTGGTCCTGATTGTGTGAATTATAACATCTGACGGGATTGGGAGGCTCAGATTATAATTCCATCTCAATTAATTTTATCATAACTTCCTCGGACGTCCACTGTAAAGAGAATGGACAACTTTCTTCTTTTAATTCTTCGATTGTTAAATATGGCTACCTAAAACTTAACACGTACAACCATTGTATTTATGAAAAAATAATTTAATAAATAGTTTCTAAAATCATTTTAGCATTTTTAATCCAGCTGTCTGCATTACAAAATTGATCTAAAATCTAACTAAATTATTTAATTCGGTTTTCTTCATCCCAGTTTGGCATTTGCTGATGCTGTTTCTAACTCTAATTTAGTTTGCTACATCACAGACGTGCAGACCACGTAAGCACATTAGTTACTAAATGAAAAGTAAATTAAATCTTTAAAATTATTTCTCTTTTTTTTTTTGCAAAGAAAACATAACAATGAAAGGCGGGTCTGCCTGTGACTTGATTATTGCATAACAGGGCTGTTTAAAAAAAGAAGAAAAACCAAGACAAACATCAACATCATAATAATATACATCTCATCGTAAACAACATAATAGAAGTGGATCACGGTGCGAGGAGACCGTTATCTGCTGAGATCACAGGATTTGTTTATTTGTTCCTGGAAAGGTCGTAATGCCACCAGTCTCGCCCATAAACGCTGTTTTGAACGACAGTGGTTGTTCGTGAGGTCTCTATTGATCCCTGATTGGCTTTTGTTAAACACCAGTGTGAACAGGAGTTACACACAACCAGGATTCATAAACACCACCTAGTGAGGTTAAGAGAGCTAAAGATGTTAGTAAATTGTGTTTTAAGCTAAAGGCAGCTCTATGCACCACTAGTTTTTAAAAACACACACACAATGGCACGGAGGTTCGAGGAAAGGACCTGCTAATTTGACTTCTTTATGTTGAACGAGAACATTTAGTGTAAAATTAGACAAGAAAAGTGAAACTAAGTCAGATAGTTTAAAGATGGAACTCACAACACTTTGATAGTGAGCTGGTCTCCTTGAGCCCGCCTCCAGCTCTAGATGAAAACTTTATTGGATGATGACGTGATGTAAAACAAGGACAGTCAACAACAGAGACCAGGCTGAGTGTCACCATATTAATGTGACACTGAGGAGTGAGAAATGCCACCAACAGGATCCCTGTTCTGTAAATGAGGTTTGTGTGGGACATCTCTGCACTCGGCTAGCTCACTGCTGCTAACCACTTACACATCCTCCCTCTCCTGATAACATTTTACTTTCTTTGATATTAAATGTGCTACTACTAGTTTACCTGTTGAAAATAATTATAGGTTCACTATACAGTTTATCTCTCACTGAATGGAATACTTACTAAGAAATCACAATGTAACCATAGAAATACTACTTGGTATTTATGCTGTGTGTGTGTGTGTGTGTGTGTGTGTGTGTGTGTGTGTGTGTGTGTGTGTGTGTGTGTGTGTGTGTGTGTGTGTGTGTGTGTGTGTGTGTGTGTGTGTGTGTGTGTGTGTCTGTGTGTGTCTGTGTGTGTGTGTGTGTGTCTGTGTGTGTGTGTGTGTGTCTGTGTGTGTGTGTGTGTGTCTGTGTCTGTGTGTCTGTGTCTGTCTGATTCCTTGATCCCCAGTGAGTCGTGGTGGATGGCTGCTTATACTACTACTACTTATAACCCAGGATCCTCTGGAGGTTTCTTCCTGTTAAAAGGGAGTTTTCCTCTCCACTGTCGCTGCATGCTTGCTTAGTATGAGGATTGCTGTAAAGTTTACTTTATACAACCCAGCTCGATGCAACCTGCTGGTTCCTTATATAGGAAACTTTTTACTGATTAGCTTAATGAACTGAGCTGTATTGGAATGTTTACTGTGTGAAGTGCCTTGAGAGGACTCTTGTCATGTTTTGGCGCTATATTAATAAACTTGAATTGAATTGTACCTAAAAGCCCGATTGGTTAGTTTTAGATGTGTTATTATTGAGCCCTGCTGCTCTGTGATGCATACATTGATTACTTTCCTTTCTCGTTCTCCAGGTCCACCCTGACTTAAGCAGACAGCTGCTCCAGGATGGTTACCGCCTGGATGAGATCCCCGATGATGAAGACCTGGACTTGATCCCCCCGAAAGCCATGAGCTCGTCTATGTGCTGCTGCTTTGAGTGCCCGCCGTGCTCCATGCAGTGATGCTGCTGCTGCTGTGACTCGGACCTTGTGAAGGCTTGGCTCTAATGTCAGCTGAATTCAGCCGTTAGTGCCCGCCACCTTCTCTCTGTGGCAGCTCAGCTGCTGCATGCTGCCTGGGGACTTCCAGCTATGAAGCCCAAAGCAGGATCCCGAGCTCAGAGCTCACTCAGCCCCAAAGAAGACGCAGATGGACGTGAGAGCAAGCCTTATCCACTGTGACCCCTAAGCCTGATTTTATTTATTTACTCAGTTTTACTTTGCAGCATTACACTAAATAAGAGTCTGACACATCTCTAAGTATGTTAGCGTGTGACTGTGTTGACTTAGAGGAGCTGCTAACGTTTTCAGCTGTCACCCTCTGATGAACCTGCATTGACCATGGTCCAGTGGCGTAACGGCACCACAGTATTATTTATCGTCTCCTCTGGCATTCAAACCAGCAACATGGTCACTACGGCAACAGATGTAGCACTAACATTTACCCTCATACAGAGTAGAGGAGCACTGAGTTTAACTGCTTCATTACCTGTTTTTGTTTTAGACTAAACGCTCCTTATGTTACTGTCTCTAAAAGTCGTTTCCTTACAGCAGCTGACGGACGTGGAGAAAACAGATGAACAAGCAAAGTTAGGTCTGTAGAAAATGCAGAGAGAGAGAGTTCTACACAGGAACCAGACATGTTTGTGGTCCAGAATATAACCCAGTGGTCTGACTAAGACCAAGTAGATGACATGTTGTTGCATTTGGATTTGACAGCCATTCCAGTATTTCTAAGGTGTTACAAGAAAAGTCACTAATTCAGTCATTGATGTTTGCACTTGATAAGAAATGCAGATCTACGTTTTTACATTCGTCATTCCTAAAGTTCACTTATTTAGAGAGGCTAAGAAAGGTCAGTCCCTTAGTCTGGGGCTATGATTAATATTTATAATTTAAGTCCCATCCAGATTAGGAGATGGCTGTGTTTCCACATTTATTTCATCTGTGTTTTATTTTTACATTGTTACAAGTTATTTACTGTTCCTACGTCAGGTCAAACTCTTAGCTGGTAGCCACACAGTTTCTGTACTTTTTTTAAATAACTAATTATTTTATGTTGACTTAAAATTCAGTTAAGTTCATATTTTCTGTTAATATTTGGGCTTTTTAAAAACTGTACTAACAAACTGTTAAATGCAACAGTGTGTTCACCTTCTCAGGAGACGTGTGTGTGTGCAGAGAACAGTTTTCCTTTTTCATACACTAGTAGAGGTTTTAAGCATGCACCACTGGTCCAGTGCAGTCTAGATAAACTACTATTATTCCCACACCCCGATGATGATGATGTCACATTTATACACAGAAGTGTCTGGAGCACCACACCAAGATTGAAAGCATATAGCAATGGTGGCAGGATACAGAAGAGAGATTTGAGTTGGGATATTGCTTCCTCTTTGAGCTTCATGCGTTTTGTGTGGGTTACGGAGTCGCTCCATGTGTTTGTGAGCAGAACTGGACCAGCTGCGTCTGCTGTGGGCTCACCCTGGTTTTGGCTCTGTCATGCTTTGCTGTAGATAACATTTTTGCACTGAACACCAGGGGCCAGAAGCAAGTACACTTGACCCACTTGTGCTATGCAACTTTTGGGACAATCTGCTTTTTGTGTAATGTTGTAACAATGTTGTGTTATTGAGTGCTGAATGCAATAAGTAAATGTTTTAGTATGGTAAATGCTACTTTTTATTTTATTGTATCCCTCATGGTTTCTATTATAAAGCAAACTTTAAAATGTGTTTTCATGCGTGTTAGTTCTATGATTATTCTATCCACCAGGGGGCAGCACGGAGCCACGCTAGGTTCTCAGTCTACCTGTTTTGCTTCACACTCAAACCTGTCATGTCTCTTCTTTCTCCTAACTTTAAGCATTTTACAAAGGCTCATACGAAGTAGATTTTACTATTAAAACATTATTTAAAGTGCTCACATGCGTGTTCGAAGCTCACTAACCTCCATCTACGTTTAAAACTAGCGTATGGTTTATTTTGACTCGTTGCTGAAAGCTGTTTCCTTCCTGAGTTTTATCGCCAACAAGAAGCGCACTGTTACTAGCTAGACTTTGTTTTTGTAGACCTATAGGGCTGAACTTTGAGAATGTTGGAATTACTCACAGATAATAGGACTTGAAATGTGTAATTAAATACTTGTTGTCGCTGGGCGGGTCTAATGCTGTAGCGCGCCATGCGAGGGGGGTGTGAACTCAAGTGTAGAGAGAGAGAGAGTAAAAAAAAACCTGACTGGGAGTCACCTCAGCGCTTTCAGAGATACGAGATCTGGCTCTTTACCAGCGTGTCCCCTCACGTATTAAAGCCGGAAATCAGAGGAAATCAAAAGGGAAATAAAGACATCCAAACGGCCGGGCCCGGTGAGGAAAACAAACCACCGCTCTGCACACTCTCTCTCTCTGCTCCCTGATCTGATCAGTCCGCTGAGCGTGCGCGCGCACGTGCACGCCCTCGTGTGTTTACAAGTGTTTGAACGAGTGCCAGAAACGAGGGAAGGAGGATAAACCCCGAAGGAAGGAAGGAAGGAGGGATGGTGGACAACTCCAGCAGTAGTAAGGCACAAATGGTGAGTGGTGTTCGCATCGAGTCGCAAACCCTCTGACTGACGCTGTTTCTGCGGGCTTTTCTCTCTGCGTTACGGTGAGGAGCTCGCGAGCTTTACTCTGATCATCTCCGTTAAACAGTTTCCGAAAGAAGCAAGAGAAGAGCAAACTTTTTCAGAGGTAACCTGACCTTTTTGAGAGGTCGCCTTTGACTCATTTTCACCGTTAAAGATTAGCAGCTGTTTTTTAATAAAGCGAGGGGACGTGGCTCGTCCGCGCGCTGGTATGTTATTTTTATCGCGCTTTATCTACGTATTTTGGGGATGTGGCGTCTAGCCAGCGAGATACGCGCTTAAGCCGCGTTAAACGCCTTTATTACGGTTGTTTTCTTAAGTTTCTGTTCATTTCAAAACGAGACATTAATTTATAATTTAAGCTAATTGAAAACGATTCGGTGTCTCACATAAAAATGACTTTTTACTCTAAACGGAGCTTAATTAGTGTCAGTAACTGGGTGATGTGTCAAGTGCTATGACAGCGTTGTTCACACGTGTGAGGAGTTTGTAATAAATTAACATTATTGTAATTTCCATTCAGATTTGCACTAAACTTTATTTAAAAGCAGTTTTTTTTAACTCTGGTATGTATTTCAGATTTTATAAACACCTGCTCGCTACATTTTATAAAAAGGAGCAATTCTATCCTCACTACAGTTTATACAAAAGTTTGCCAAAACAATTAATTGTGATTTTGTAGTAACCGTTTTTTCTCGACTTGAGTGACCCGTACAAGTACTTAAGTCTCCTTGTGATGAGTAGTTATAATAAAAGTATTATTTTACTGTCAGAAATGAGCAAATGCAATGTGTGCAGATAAAAGAGTCATTATGGTTTTGCTGATTTGTAATTCCCAACTCCCTTTTCTTCCACCTACAGCCAAGCATGTCTCAGGAGCCCAGTGTGGCCTTTCCCCAGAGCACCTCCACAGGGGGAATGAAGCTGGAGGCAGTGATGGAGCAACTCCAGCGTCAACAGCAAGCTCGTCTGGAAATGGAGCGCAAGGAGAGGAAGATACGAGAGACCCACATCATGTACGCTCAGCAGCTCGCAGCCCAGCAGGCCATCCTGGCAGCCGCCCGAGCTTCTGGGGCCAGCTTCATGGGCAAAGGGATGCCTGGAAGTGTTCCTGCCAGCAGCTTGCCTCCCCGTGTGTCCAATCAGAGCAGTGTAGACTCAGAAAGAGATGACGACGAGGACAGAGGTCGGGATTCTGCGGACGAGGATGATGACAATGAGATGATGGAGGGCGATGAAGGCAGCGATGAGGACGAGGGAAGTGCCAGTGGTCTGGAGTTCCTTCGTAAGCAGACCCTTGCTTTGCAGCAGAACGCCGCCCGTATCCCAGCACGTCCGTTTGCAGGTTACTCTGTGTCGGCCCCCCAGAGGGCTGCCTCCCCCCCTGTCAGAGTGAAGCAGGAACCTGATGAGGGAATGTCACCTGCAGGGCCCAACTCTGCTGCTTCTCCGAATGGACAAGGGGACTGGGGGTTTGACGATCACTTTAGACAGGTTAGTACCTCCGTGTTTCATCCTTATTGTAAATCCTGTGTTGGTGCTGCTCTAGTTATGCTCTCACAAAACACAAGTAAGAGTTTAAAGGTTACCAGTTAACAACAACAGCTAGTTTTTGTTCAACAGATCAAGCTGAGATGCAGCTTAATCTTCTGCAGGGCTCCAGCAGTATCTTTGTAAAACACTCCAAATCTCTGCAGGGGCCTGACCGCCGATTTGCTTTTGTGGTGAAAAAAAAAATCCATCTGAGTGAGTCTTGGCGGTCAGCCAGGCTGAGGTGAAACGTGTTCACGCTCACAACCTCTCTCCTCTTGCACTCACATTTTGAATGTGTGTGTGTGTGTGTGTTTTGCTCTTTGTCCCTCTTGACGCTTTGCTCAGCCTCTGGTTTGGCTCTGATCCAAGTAGTGGAGTCGAGCAGGGCAGCGCTGCTGCTGCGGGTGGTTTGTCGGGTCAGACTGATGATTTTGGGTGGGTGAAAAGGTTGGATGTAGCACACAGTAGCGGCCTGTCACACCCCCGCTCCATCCACCCAGAGCTTCGGCTTTGTGCCAAGTGAACTTTCCCTTTAAGGTAAATATTGCCTCAGTGAAGTGTTACAGAGCACTGCAATGCCAACAGGAAACCAAGCCAAGTTACATGTGGTTTAGCATCATAGCTGTAGGCTGTAGCAGGTTGACCTGAAGGCTCAGGTGCCTGTCGATGGTGTAAAAAGCCCCAGCTGAGCAGAAATAGATAACGAGGCTCATCTAGCGCAAATATATTTAATAACTCAGTAAAACCGAGAAAACCTGTTTGCACCTCATAATGGACCACTGCTGGGAACGCTATGATATACAGCTATCATAGCCGTGTGGTAAGATAGAAAAGAGTCGATAAAAACGTCTCCCTTTCTTTTTCATTCTTGCTTATTGGGCAGCTTAATAGAGTTGCTCGGTGTCTGACCAATCGTGTGGCTGGAATAGAGGCACACAGCAGCCGGACATGCTAACGGCTAATGCTTGTTCAGCGACTTCTGGTAACATCACTGTAAACGGTGCGACAATGGCACGGGAGTTAAGTGCTCGCCCCGTAATCGGAAGTTTGCAGGGTCGAGCCCCGCTCAGTCTGTCGCTGTCGTCGTGTCCTTGGGCAAGACACTTACCCCACCGTGCCTGCTGGTGGTGATCGGAGGGACCGGTGGCCCCTGTGTACGGCAGACTCACCTCTGCCAGTGTGCCCCAGGGCAGCTGTGGCTACATCGTAGCTCATCAGCTTGAATGTGTGTGTGAATGGGTGAATGACTGATTGTGTTGTAAAGCACGGGGGGGGGGGGGGGGGGGGGGGGGGGTGTCGGACAACTAAAGTAGCGCACATGTTCTGAATGTAGCACAATAAAACCCATTGATCAGTTTTAGCATCTGAACCAGAACCGCTCACTGGAGTACGCAGGAGGCAAAACTTTACAACCCCACATGAGTGAGAGTGCTTTATGTCGATGTATGTTGATATCAGCTGATATTGAAAACACTACAGCGATAGGAATGTTCTCCATATCCTCCAGCCCTACATGGAATTATATTGTATCCTGTAGATTAGAGATGCATGGATTGTAGTTTTGAGGGCTGACAGAGATTTTGTCCTATTCTGATTTATCTCAAATAACTATTTTTAAAACAATTGAAAAATCCAATTAACTTGGAAAAAAAGACGTTGGAAATGAAAACTTCTGCACACTTCCCCACTGAACCTGTTGTGTTGTTAAAACTGATCCAAAAGCCTCAAGACCAAATGGAACAATGTTTAAACCACGTGCTTGTATAAGGGAAACTCATATTGCGTTATGTGTTGGTAAAATATATCAAGTACATAATATTGGGTTCTTATTGATCATTAAAAAGATTCATCAGTTCAGATGGCGATGGGTGATATGACAATAATGGATCATGAAGGATTAAAACAAATTAGTTGACATAATCAACAATTTTGATAGTAAAAGGTCAGTGCAACACATTTTTATGTTGACTCATAAACACAACTTTCAGTAGACAGTGTCAGAAAGAGCCACACATTGGTTTTAGTGGCTGCAATGCCTTGCATAAAAGTCTAGGGGCAGTGTAATTTAGCTCGCCAGGACTGCATACAGCCATCACAGTGAGGAGGAGCTTCTGAGGAAGAGAAGGAGGGACCCCAAGGTGTTCCTGGGCCAGCCTAGGAAAAAGCTTCCTCAAGCAGGACATGCCCAAAACACCCCCTCGTGAAGCATCCAGGAGCCATTCTCACTAGTGGTGATCAAAAAACACAAGGTTCAGGCTCATTTTGCATCTTGCTATGTAAAATAAGAATTACAGAGAGGTCAGATTGTTGAATAAATGTTAAAACGGCTTGCCAGAGATCTCACTTCTTGTGTGTCCTGCTTTCACTAGTTTTTTCACCTTTCTGAATTCCTCATCTCTTACATATTTGTCCCCAACAATAATTACAGGTCCCATCGCGTTAATGTAATAATTGTTCCAGGCAGTTTGTACCCCCCTCCCCTTCACAGCGATCAGACGTACTTGATGGAAGCACGCGCTCGTGTTCATTATTGCTATTTGTCCCATCACTGTAATTTACATGGAAGCCAAAATGTTCCCATACATGCGACTTAAACGATGTCGGTGGTTTTTCAAGCTCCTCTTCTTCTCTGCCATGACTACTGCTGTATTTTTCTCATTTGGATTGAACAGGTGGCGCCTTGGCCCTGCACGTGACCAATTCACAGACCACGTACGTGCCGAACTGTAGAGAGAGATCCGTGCTGATCACAGATCAGTGGTGATCCGTTGCACCCCTAATTCTCACCAAATGCCCCAACTATCTTTACTGGCTCCTCTCGACATGGTGGAGTAGTGGTTCTTCTCCAAGTCCCTCACGGTTGTCCAAGCTCCTCCCCCTATCTCTAATTTAATTTCAGTCCTTTGGATTTGCAATCTCTCTCTTTTGGACATTACCCAAAGCCCATGAACATAGCTCATGGTTGGAATGTAGATCGCCCTCTAGGTCGAGAGCTTTACTTACTTAGCTTTGTGCTACAGTGGAATTAGACACAGTGTTAATTTCTGATTAAACTATTGTGTTCTGCTTCAGATTACAATATTAACTAGGTTTTCATGTATGCTACACGTTGTAAAAGTCATGACGCCTTCGCTGGATTATCAGACGAAACACATTGAAAACTGCTGTTCCACTTAAACACGCCGCAATTTGCATTTTTCTAACAAGTATGGCAGTTCTGTTATTTTCCAAAAGAAACATAAGAATTCTTAAACCACGTGCATCTTCAACTCTGCAGTATCAGTCTACCATTGTGTTTTTGATTTAAACTGCAAACTCTGCAGACACATTCACATCCTACAATGGAACCAACCAGAGGATTGATGTGTTTTGTAGAATGAAACATCATGGAGTACAAAAGGCACTCTTTATCTGGAGGCTGGGGGACAGAAATGATAAATGACAGTCAGAACAACCATTTCCACAGCTAATTAAAAAATCCGTAGCACTAGTCACTAAATTACAGTCAGTTTCTTTAATTAAATGAAGAATGTGACTGTTTTGGAAAGGAATGCTAATAAAGTTTTAGAGTTTATTCACCCTGTATGTATCAATGCATTGTTCAGTGTCCGTGTAAGATTAGTGGCAGGGTAAGGGAAGTAACTTGAGAGGGGGGGTTGAAGGGAAATAAATGCTGGTAACCATTGCTCCAAACCAGATGACCAAATTTAGCTTTAGAGCAGAGACAATGGGTAAGGGCTCAGAGCAGAGAGCACGTTCCCACACCAGTTCCATGGCTTATTGTCTCCACAAGAGTCAGAAGTTCTAGACATACTCTGAGATGGTCGACTTTGTCCAAGCATTGATTAAACAGAAGATCATAGCAGCCACGATGCAGCTGACCAGTGTCCTACGTGTGGCCTGGTGTCTTTTATTAGGAGAGGCGGGCAGAGCCTGGGGGTTGGGGGAGGCATTATGGGATGAGAATTGGTCTGGCCTTTTTTTGTTTCCTCTCTTTTATCTTTCCTGTCATTATGTCAGCTCTGCAGTATTTAATGACGGCTCATCTCTTCAGGCAGTTTCAGGTTGCACTGCTGCAGGGGGAGGGGATCAGTGGAAGCTGGCAAAGTGTTTCATTTTATTTTTATTTATTTTTTTGATAATATTGCTTTCAAGGGGCCAGAGACTAGCTAAGCAGATGCCACAAATACCGACCTCATAAAATAATGGGAGACAGCATTTATTATACTCTAAAAGCAGCGACAGAGGATAGATTGGATGGCTGACCAAAGACAGATTTGTGCAGAAGACCCTTTACGTTAGCTTGTCCATCTCGTGTAACCAGTCACATCAGATAGAAGCTTTTATCTGAAGCACTCAGAGATACCAACATGTGCCTAAAGCAATGCAAACCATATTTAGAAAAGGGTTGGCTCCTGGTACGATCCAGTATTCAGTAACACTTAACATAACTTATTAGATAAATAAACATTTAACATTACAGTTTTTCTACGGTTGAAGTTTTTATGATATGCAGAGATGCAGGACGTCAGTTTTAACATTACTTGGAACAACCATACACTTGATTGTGGCTTGAAGATTGCTGGGAACAATTATTATTATTAATTATTTTTATGTAATTATTTGTCTATTTAATGTTTTAATATGATGTGCACCATAGTGTAATGACAAATGTTGGAAATCTGAGCTGTATTTAAGTAAAACTGCAGATTGAACCGGTAAACTACTGTTTACGGGGTGGGTTCCTAATCCTAACCTCCGCATCAATGTTAGAACATGCCACTTATAAAATATAAGATAATACGTAACGTACCTGTGCATTTACCCGTGTCAAGTTTGAGTTCACTCTGCATTCCCTCACCAGAGCCGAGCTAGCCGTAATCCACCTTAGCTGGTGCGAAACAGTTTGAACCGCTCTGCAGCATGTCGGAGAGAAAAAATAGAACCAATATCTGCAAAAA